AGAGAGAGAGAGAGAGAGAGAAGGATAGAGCTAGACATAAAGTAGACAAGATAGATATCAAAACGGGAAGATACAACGATGAAGAGACAGATACATCGCGGCATTGCGAAAACGCGGAGATAGTTTAAGATCGATTAGATCGATCGCGATGGAGATAGGACTACGTAGATCAATAGATCGTTCATTCGCGGCAAAAAAAAAGAGAAATTGTTTGACCAACAGAGAAAGAAAGGGTATGTTTTTTCTCCACTTTTTTCTTCCGCCAGTGTAACGCGCTCTTACATTAACGTCCGGTAGATCATTAAGAGCTGCCGACAGTCTCGCATATCCGCGAAGGAGGAGGGGTAATATGATCGTACATCTTGCACTATCGATATTGTATTAATCAGGATCTTGGACACAGTGGACACAGTGATGCATGCGCATTAATATTAATTAGCGAGTGGACCAGTGCGAACGGGTATTAATAATGGCGCAGTATGCTTTCACATGCATGAGTAATATAATATACTCTCTCATGGGACTGTATATGTGCACGTAGATACCTACGTATATAAATATGTATGCTTGGCGTGTATAATTTCCGCGCGCATCGAATAGAACGCGATTGAATAAGCGAAACCAAACTGGTATCGATTGAAATCGAAACACAGACATTATCTTCCGTGCGTGCGAGTTTATTAAGCCTGGAAGTGTTTACCGTCTACGTTACAGGAAGCGTATCTCGATCGATGGTAGCGATAGCACGTTGCATTATTATTGTCTCGCTTCTCGTTCTGTTTCTAGAGCAAGCCCTCACCGTCGAACGACAACGTAATCACGAATTAACCCATTAACGCCCACGGTCGCGTTTCATATTCGACACTGCGCGGTGTTTTGCATAAAACACGTTACGGCTACCGTATGTATAGTCGATATCGGTCGCGGTATGGAAATGATGAGAACTTCCATTTCCCGTCTCCATTTCTATGATATACATACGAATGAGCTTGTTAGCTAATAATATAATATAAATAATATTAAAAAGAATATTATTTTATCTATTTTATTACCGGACATATAAGTATCAACACTCAGTTGACATAAAATTCACAGAAGTGTATTTCCTCTCTCAATTACACGTTAGTTTATATATCTATGATATTTGTCTCTCGTTCCAAGATTAACGTTACATTTATATTGTATAATTCATAATAAAGATCAATAATTTTCTCTATACTGCAGGCGTTAATAGCTTACAGCGAGAACAGCGCCTACGACTTCCGCTCTATTATCCTTCTCAAAAATATCTTCGAGAATAAATTGCAGACGCAAAAGCGAATCGTGCGAACCTTGCAACTGCAAAAATTCCTGAGATAGCTCTGCGCGCGCGAATGTTTGCGTGTTGTGAGATGTTGATGTGTGTTTGGCGATTTAAAAGAAAAGAGCCTTAAGATGTTCCTTACAGCATTGAGTAACCCCTGGACCGTCGGCGGCGTGACATGCAATGGCGTATAGACGTCCTCCGATTCCTGACGCACGTAAAGCATAACGCGGTCTTCGGCGTCCGCCGAGCGCAGATGCGAGGGCTGCTGTTGTAGATGCAGTCGATTGCCGACGCTGGACACCACCGCGCCTGTCAGACCGGCCTGTTGCACCCCCAGCACCGAGCCCTGTAGCTCCTGTACCTGCATCAGCAACGAGTCCTTCTTGTCGTGCAGGCTACTGAGATTGTCGGGCGGAAAGTGGTTGTGGAACTTGAGGGCAGGCAGACTCGGCCGGCCGCATGCCGCCGGATAGGGGCTGCTACCGCCCGCCGCCTTTAATCCTCCACCTTCACCATTACTGAGGGACGAGGTGTCGGTGTCACCCCCGCCCCCGCCGCCGCCACCACCGTAGAAGCCCGACAACTCCATCGTCGAGAACTGTCGTGGAAAAAGAACAAGATTTATTTCTACTTTGCGTCTTTTTTTTTTCCTCTTTTTCCTCGTTTGAATTTCATGGAAAATGAGGAGCAACTTTGAAGCGACATTGACTTCTTTTTTAACACGTAATTATCAAGAGATAATACATTTGCGAAATAGCGAACGAATTTCAAAATCAGGAGCGACAAAAAATAAATATGGAAACTCCTCAATTTTCTATTAACAATGAAAATAATAACGCTATATGTAATAATAAAGTTATTGCAATTAATCATAATACGTGAAATAACATTATTGCAATAACAATTCAACAAGGATATTGAAAGTATTAGGAATATAAAAATTAGATGTCGAATTTGCTCCGGTTCGCTAAACTGAACTGACATAAAATTCGAAAGGCTTTGAGAAAGTCCACGTCATTACTTTGCGATAAAAGGAGTTGCGGTTAGTGCAGGTTTTCGGCGGGGGTGAGAGCAGAGGATTATGAATGCCACATGATTTTCTTTCTAAGTTCGCTTTTTACGCTGATTAATTAATGCATGCCAAGATTACACATTTATATTTAATTAAAAACAAATCTAATTTAACAAGCACAGGCGCCTTGTATTGCGTTTTATTCACATTAACGTAGCATATTAGAACAAGTTTAGGTCCATATTGTTATATTTTATTATATTTTATTGTACTTTTTATAATGAGAATTTTTTTCGCGCAATTATTAAATTCAATACCGCCGTAATTAAACGGCCTTTAATCATGTTCATGAGCTACGCTTCCGTGAGAACACAGCAAGTCTTTATAGACGACACTCTTATTTGCTCGAGTAACGTACGAAAAAACGATGGATGTGATTACCTTATCGATGGCGTGCTCGGCCGGCGGCGAGAATAATACAGGAGGTTTATGCAGATCGACCATGGAGTAAAACTCGCTGCGCTCTGTCACGGGGTGATAAAGCTCATCGAGCTTTTTCCTGCCGGTCGCGGTCATCTTTCTTTTGGCTGCGCGTCTCTCCTCGTCCCGGGTCTTCCTTTCTGCCCCCTGCGGTAAGCAACGTCATCTCTCAACTTAATTTTCAGCGATCGCATTGCGACCAGGAAGCGATCGCGCGTTATTTACATCGTAAATGAAAAGAAAGAGGAAGAGAAAGGAGGGGAGAAAAAAAGAGATAAGCGTATGGAAATTCAAAAGAGCGGTTACCTTATCACAAAAGACCTTAATTTGACAGTAGCCACGATGGGAAGGCGGCGTGTACGTGTGCGTGTGAGGTGGCGGTTCCTCATACGTATCGACCTGGATATGTAACGGCAAACCCTTCACGCCTTTCTGACTCGAGAAATCGGTACTGAGACATTGCACCGCAACGTTTATCTGCGGATCAGAAATCGGACAGGTAGTAGCGGGGACGGGGAATTGCTTTATTAACCGTTTCCGCTAAACGGCCATGCGATCGAGTGCGCGAGCAATGCGATATTTTGCGCGGAGTGGCGCGAGATCGCATGGCGATAAACTAGGTATATCGGGAAAGAGGGAGGATGGAGAGGGCTCGGATACGTGCATGTCGTTAAGGAGGTAACGTGAATCGACATTTCCGGCGTTCCTTACCTTCGCCGACGATTCGAGTGGGCTCCAGTAAACGGCAATCGCATTGTGCGCGACTTCCTCTATGCAGCCCACCAGTCCAACGCTGTTCTTTGTGTCTGTAACAACGGACGTGACTCTAAAACTCGCGGATCATGCAGGGGAATACGAAGTAGCTAGTGCTACTCCCGGTACGCTTTTAGATAGAATATTAAAATAACGGGGCATTTGTTCGCGATACGATCTTACCGTTTGTCCGTGACGGATTAGATAGCTTGCGCAAAAATACAAGAGATTAAAAGATCTAATCGATGAAGCGATCGCGAATCTCTATTATATTCATAAAAACTATTATTACTAAAACGAAAACTTTTATATATCATTTTGTTAAATCATTTACCGGCATCGAGAATCCGTTGTTTGACGGAGTGCTGTCTGCCATGCCAGAATTGCCAAGACTTGATCTCGTCCTCTGGGCTCTTCTCCTCTCGGAACATGAGCATTACCACGCTCTACATACACAAATTAATTATACGCAAGAAATCATCGATATCGGTCGTTATGCTTGTCTGTACATTAGTCTACGGGGCGAGGAGAACATTGTGCGAGAGAGACGTGCCGCGTGCGCACGTAAATCCCTCGTATTTTATAATCAGCCTGGCATGTGTGAGGTAACATAAATAAATGTTCTACGTATCTACGAAGTTAACTTTCGGGTTTCTCATTTCACTCGGATCGCACATCGGCCGCGACAGACGCACGCTCGAGCGGGCACACGCGGACGTGAGCGTTTCGCCGCTCGCGGCGAGCGAGCGCCCGAGACGGAGGAAGGATTTTTCGTGATTCGGGTGAATGGGCGAAGAACTGCAACTCCGACGTACCGGAGGAGGAAATATGGGCGCGCGCGCGATCGGAAAGGAAAGAGAGGCCTGTGAATAAGAGGCTCGCGTTACGCGGTTACACTTACTTAACCGATCTCCCCTTGAGGCTCGCGCCGCGAGAGACGCGAATATACCGTTCGAATCGCCACACGCCTCGCCCTCGACGCTCGATTAGCAATTAACGAGGAAGCCGTAACTCGTCGCGGCGCGCACGACGGAAAAAGAAATCCGCCACCTTTATCAGAATGGAAATTGCTAACGGTGAGCCCCGCGCGCGCCGCGGCTGCCAATTAGAGCCGCGAAAACAAACGATCCCGTCTGACTTCTTCCTTCGACACGCCGCGCCCTGATCATCCCCGCGAATTTCGCCCCAGTCACGCGACAAATACGATACGCTGCAAAACGCCCATTGTTAGATGGTCTGATATGATTCGTATCGTGTACACTAGATTACGTATGATACGTCGCACGTGCTTTTGAATGCTCTCTTGTTACCAAATCGCAAAATTGATAGTAAAACTATAAATAAAAATTATAGATTACATAGATTCAAAATGATATATGTGTAGCACATAATTATTTAATCGTAGATTTAAAGCTATTAAAATTCAAGCAATTATCTTATGTTGAATGCATTTTAGAGCTATAATCTTCGAAACGTAACAATTATTACTCAAATTATATATATTTACATAAAAAATTGCAAGCAATAATAATATATAATTATTCATTACGTTCTTACCTTTACCGTCTGTCCTGCCTTAAGCGGCTTGTCTGGATCGGTCACATACTCCAACGTGATTCCGTAGAATTGACCCTTGTTGATATACGTTATTCTGTCATCTTCACGACGCTGTGATGTGCTAATCGGCGACTCCAGATGATATTTAAATCCGTAATTCGAGAAACTAAAGGACAGACAAATAAAAATTCCTAAATGAAGCGTGGAAAAAACGCAACTTGATAAAAAAGTGCATATTTAAGAAACGATTCCTGGTCATTATGCAGCTGGCTGTCTCACACTTGATCAAGATCGAATCGCTTATTTACTTAATAAGCTGTTACGAGCTCGCAAACGAATGCTCAATTAGCTGATTAATGCGATGTGAGTGATTATCGTGCTATTATCGGCTAATTCCCCGCCAATTCTATTCCTACTTCGCCTACTAAGACAAACACACTTAACGCCACTTCGCGTGGCAAACAACCGATGCGTGCGCGAGGCAAATAAAATCGCGCGAAATTTTTGCTAATTAGAAACGTTCATCATCGCGTGAAAAGAAGCGATTTCCGATCGGGTATGAATATTCCGATCGCTAATCACAAAACGCAAAACGATAATGAAGGGCTCTCGGACGCCCGGAGCCTGGGAAGCTGCAGACCCAAGCGCGAGCGCAAACGCACGACGCGAAGTGGAAAAAGAAAAGATATCGACAGACACGCATCAACCTTGCCCGGAGAAAATCGCGGCTTCTAATCGAGCTTATCTCCGCGCCGGTCGCGGCTGAGGCAGGCAGGTAGGTAGGCGGGCGATAACTTATGAAAAATGAACGCCCATAACCCGAGAGAGAGAGAGAGAGAGAGAGAGAGAGAGAGAGAGAGAGAGAGAGAGAGAGAGAGAGAGAGAGAGAGAGAGAGAGAGAGAGAGAGAGAGAGAGAGAGAGAGAGAGAGAGAGAGAGAGAGAGAGAGAGAGAGA